AAGATCTGTGTTACCTTCTCTATCAAAGATCTGTGTTACCTTCTCTATCTAAGATCTGTGTTACCTTCTCTATCAAAGATCTGTGTTACCTTCTCTATCAAAGATCTGTGCCTTCATACACATTTCTCTCACTGTCAGGCCAGGGTCGAGGAGCATCGGCACGGTAACCACATTTTTAAACAGCTGCTGAAGCTCCTCCAAACTCAGGGCTGTCAGACTGTCTGTCGTTCCACTGTAGAATGCCAAAGTCCATCTCTTGGCCTGCTCCAGCCCAGCCTCTACAAATTGTACAGTATTGTATAAAAAGAGTTGCTAAACTCCAAGTTCTTAAGGTGTGAGATCTTCCATCGTCAAAATTCCAGGGGTTATGTTTCACCTATGTTATCTGTACCCCTAGAATATGTCATAGCAAAATTGAAGGTACGTGTCAATCTGTACATGTACATCAAAGGATTAAACTAGTCTTCTTATGTTATCCCCAAGGTTGTGCGACACATCCTTCGAATTTGTCATGACATAATACAGGGGTGCCAAGAGCATAAGCTAGCATAACCCTAGGAATTTTGATGATGGAGATCTTCCTCAAATCGGAAATTAGAATGTCAAAGATTTAGTGTGTTAGGATCGGATTAATATTCAATTCAAACTGACAGGTAGAAAATAAAGTGTGGGGTCTGGTCTCACTCCAAAGGAGGGTTAAGTCAGGGTGAGAAAAGGCTACAAAGTGTCAGATTCTGGTCTCACTCTGAAGGAGGGTTAAGTCAGAGTGAGAAAAGGCTACAAAGTGTCAGATTCTGGTCTCACTCCAAAGGAGGGTTAAGTCAGGGTGAGAAAGGGCTTCACAGTGTGAGATTCTGGTCTCACTCCAAAGGAGGGTTAAATCAGAGTGAAAAAAGGCTACAAAGTGTGAGATTCTGGTCTCACTCCAAAGGAGGGTTAAATCAGAGTGAGAAAAGGCTGCAAAGTGTGAGATTCTGGTCTCACTCCAAAGGAAGGTTAAGTCAGAGTGAGAAAGGGCTACAAAGTGTGAGATTCTGGTCTCACTCCAAAGGAGGGTTAAGTCAGAGTGACAAAATGCTTTTTGAGTTTGAGATTCCCTACCAGGGTGCAAAAGGTGGAAACCTTATTTCTGATTAATTTTGATCAATTGTTACTGTAGTAAACTCTATCATGCATTGATCTGGGTAAGTCCATTATTGTCTATAGAGTCTTATAATCATTATTATTACAATTCTTACAAAGTTTAATTAAATACCTGAAACAGTACTTGAAAAATATGTAAATATATAAGTTTGATTTAAAGGGCCTGTTTCCAGTAATGTTAATTCTCCATAGGAGCCTGCCCCCGTATAATTTCTTATCTAGCTCAACTACTGCTTTTTTCTTTTCCGAAGAATACTTTTACACCTTTCCAACACCCAGATTTCATAATTTCAGTGAAAATGTATTTTTATAAAGTTGTCATTTTCAGCCCCAAAGACATAAGTTCGTAAATAAAAGAAGGTTATCTCGAAATTGTAATTCGCAACATAGTATAAATTTCTTTTGATAAATATTTCCAAAACATCGTGTTTATTCATAAAACATAAAAAAAAAATTCTCGGATGAAAATGCACTTGCAGAGACACAATTATGAAGAAAAATGCCATAAAATTGCAATTTTCTCCCGTTATATAGTTTTGGATGCAAATTTCCATCAGAAAATCGGATAGAGCTTTACTTGTTTCATATGTGTACCAAAAATCAGCTAATTCCATGTGGTGGAACGTTCTCATATCGCCGCCTGAATGTGGTTGTAAATTGAAAGAAAAGGGGAAATGAGTAACAACCTTGTCTGAAACCCTATTATATAGCTTATTATATACAAACTTTTATATTGAATATCAGAGCGGATATTTTCATGACAGTTTTATGATGTGTAACGACTAAATAAACAGTATCGATATAAAGATTTACACTGAGGACACCCTGATACATGAATACTGTTCTATCTCAAGTTGTCCTCTTCTGAATTTTCTGATCGTGTGGCCTTGTACATTTATCCGTATCTTCTTGTCTTTGTCTATACGTTTACGGAATCATTGACTCGACGCTAGCTATTCTTGTCTCACTTTCCTTGTTTTATTGTCCCATCTCCAAAGCGTTGTGGCTCTGTCAGGGTTGGGACCCTGACTTGTCTCACTTTCTTTGTGCCTGCCGACCACGCCACATCGAATAGATAGATTATCCATATGAAATACTTTATTTTGTTCTAAGTAATCAATCAATTCTGCGCTTCTTGGAGGTATTGAATGTGATTTATTATATTGTCTTGTTATTTTGTGTAATTAGTTGTTCGTTATTTATCACACATTTTCGCATAATTGTACCAAACTACTAAGTATTAGCTGTTTACAGCAATCATCGGTGGCTTGCTATTTTGTTACTTTATCGACGCTTCATAAACCAATCGTTATTGTTTCAAGATGGAGGGTAAATGTGTTGGAGAAGGGTGTCAAGTATACTTCAAGAAACGTAGTGGCAATAAGAACAGAAGTGCACGCAATGTAAATAGTCCACAATATAAATGGCTCCTAGATACGCTGGTGCAACAAGGATTGATGTCAGCAAAGGAACAAGCACTTATTTGCCAGAAGTGCTACATGAAGTATCTTCGGAACAAAAATCAGCCTGAACCTGAACCCGAGCAGAACCAGGAAATAGAGGAAGAAGACGACTCCCCGTCCCATATCCTGCCGTTGCTGACCCTTCATGATCTTTTGAATGGATCATCTTCACACAAAAAATGCTGTCTCTGTCTTGTTACCTTTGCAAGAAATGGAACAAAATCATCAGTCTTACCAAAACGTGCAAGACATCACCTGATCTATTCACACAAACTGTGGTGTCCCACCTCATCCCGCGTCTGCTCCATTCACCTTATTGGTAACGACTTAGATCCGTCTACAGAGGTTGTCCTTGATGGTAGAGGTTCCTTGGAATCTCAGTTACCATCAAAATCGTCCGAAATCATTAATGACCTCCTAGAGGTGTCGCACGTCCTTTCACAGAACCAGTCTGCGTTTACAATAAGCTTTTCTTCTCTTGATGACTCGGCATGCATGGCCTGGACAGGTTGGTCCAAAGATCAGTTCCTCGAAATCCACTCGCACTGTTCCCCATATCTTTCATCTGGTATATATACCAAGACTACACACGATGCTCTATTACTGTTCTGGGTAAAACTGAAAACCGACATTTCCTGGAGTCAGTGTTCTTCTCTTTTTGGAATTTCCAAGTCAAGTGTGTCCAAAACTTTCCACTCCATAGTACAGGCATTAGACACATCGATAGTCCCACAATTTCTAGGTCCGGATCACTTGACAAGAGAACAGTTGCTCGGGCACAATACTGTCTTTTCAGAAGCATTTTTTGGAGATAAAGCCACTGCCATATTAGATGGCACCTATATTTATATCCAGAAAAGCTCCGACCACAAGCTCCAGAGAATGTCCTACTGTGGCCAGAAGAAGAGAAACTATCTCAAATTCATGAGCATCGCCTTACCAGATGGCTACATTCTGGACACAGTAGGACCATTCACTGGCAGCGAAAATGATGCTACAATTACAAAAAAAGTCATGGACAAGCTAGTTACTTGGCTACAACCAGACGACAACGTTGTCGTTGACCGAGGTTTTAGAGATGTCCTACCAGTTCTCGAAGCCTCTGGCCTCAATGCTAGCATGCCGTCATACCTGAAACCCGGTCAAAGTCAACATTCTGACGTCCAAGCAAATCTTGACAGAACTATCACCAAATCGAGGTGGATTGTGGAATCCTATCATGGTCGTCTGAAACACTGGACGTTCTTCCGAACGCAATTGGTGTCTAACAGCTTTATCAATGTCATCGAGGCTTTGCTTCGAACCGTCACAGCCTGTCTGAATGGTATTAGAGGACCGATCTACCAGAGATCTCCAGAGAGAGATGCCAAAGATAGGCTAATGGCTGAACGTATGAAGGACCGTTTGACAACACCGAATGGTTTAGCTCAGAGAGTCAAGACAGATCCGGATCTATCTAGACGGGCAAGGTCCGAGTTTGTCAAGATGGATGCATCTTCCGTACTGTTTCCCCGTCTCGATCTTGATTACTTGAGAACCATTACGTGTGGAACGTATCAGATATCTCTGGCTCCTGGTTACATCGCCGAACATTTAAGTGATGACGGAGACTATGAGGTGTGGCTTTACCAGCACTCCCCAGACCTTCTCCGATGTCAAATACATTCTCGACACAAAAGCCAAACGAAATATAACGTTTGGATACGGTTCACCGTTTCACCCGATGTTGAGGCCCCAATAAAGGACTACTACTGCCAGTGCCCAGTTGGAGAGAGAACGATGGGAATGTGTGCGCACATCTCCAGTATCTTGTACTACCTTGGGTATTACAGGACGCTGGAAAACCCTCGACCATTACAACCACAGGTAAAGAAATTCCGACAAAACTTGAAATAGTTTTCCATGCGGCAACGGAGTGCATATGTCGAAAGTATGTTTGGGGCTCGATATGAAAGATCCCCGTTACCATGTGACTAACCAAACTTATAAATATAGGTATTATACAATCGCCCGTAGCTATGAACACTCCCGTAAATGCGAAAACCAACCAAAATCATAAGGAACACGTTTTGTTTGTTGTTCTGTCTATTTGTCAGCCAATGTCTTCAACCACGGGGACTTGTGAAGTAGCCATCTTGGATTTTTTTTATGAAAAAGTGTTTCTCTCACTTTTTTTCATATCTGTGTACATATTCTCAACATACCGAGCAAATACTCTCGTTTTTTTGTTAATTATCTAAAGAAAGTCGAAAATCGGCAATTCAACCATAGGCTAATTCAACCCAACATTTGAAAATGTTCCACCACTTACATTTTGATGATTTTTCCTCTCATCAATAGCATATTACGTACTGTTTAATAGGATAAAAATTGGTTTGCATCCAACGCCCATAAAAGGGTGTATTCTCTAAAAAACACAGTTTTTGTGTCTAAAATGTTATCATCGAAAATGGCATTTTTGAGATTGTTTCTTCCATAAAACAGCCAAATGGCGCGATGGAAACATGATTTTTTGTCACAATCATGCCATGAATGTATTCTTTACGGTGACCATCATTTGATTAGATTTTCATTAATATTTTACATAACATGCACATTTTATCAACACTTAGACAGCTTCTGAAAGGTACAACTTTGAGGAGCCATAAAAAACAAACCAAGTGACCTAAATCTGTATACTTTATAGATTTGTGACCACAACGGCATGGGCAATGCACCACCAACAGGAAATTTGAATCAGAGAAGGGGCTGTTTTGGAAACCGGCCCTTTATTAAGAAAATATTTCTACATTTATGACTAACAAAATTTGTTAAAACCACACATTATAATGATCATGTACATTATACATGTAAGTATAACCAGGTAATGAATTTTAGGAAAAATGAAAGGTTATGGAACTTTTCCTTAATTTCAGTAAACTTTATCAGAAATCTGAAATTAACAAATTCATAAAACTTAAGGAATATTTAGGGTGTGATTTTCCAGCAGAAATATACTTACCACCATGGACTAAAAGTGTCACTTGTTCTGCCAAAAGGTTCTGTCCATGCCGCTTGTCTAGACAATTCTACAACACGGAGCATATTTTGTATAATGTTTGCTATGTACCATACAAACCGACAAAACTAGAAAGACACCGACGCCCAGCTCCCCCTTCCTTGGATACCCACAGCTGATTTCCCTACACTACTCACTCATCAGCGAAGCAAACTAAGCTGAGGGTATGCGACAATGAGCTCCCCCAAGTCCGTACTAAAGGAAGGTTTCTGAGGTCAAGGTCAAGGCTACGAAAAGCCATGCAACGTGCTGTATAGAGCATTATAGTCTGTGAAGTTAAATTGTGTGACCCTAGTTGACATTACTTAGTCCATAACAGACCTAAGTACAAAAAGTTAGCCAAGGTCACAGAGGTCAAGGTCAAAGGTCACAAAAATATTGTGCAACATGCTGGATTCATACATGGACACATCTACATGTCCCTTTTTTCCTATTTATTTCCTTGTTTTCTCTCAGTTTGTACCATGCAGTGAAAACATTCTTCCAAAAATTCTTATAATTGTTAGCAAGTATTTTCAAGTATTGGTTCCGACAGTTTGCTAATTTAATGTAAACATGTATTAATATCAGTCTCTAGTATTTTTATCAATTTACTAGTTGATTTAAAAATCCACCTCATCCAACCGACTTTCAGGGTGTCACTATATTATTCTATATTTGTCGTTTTAAGCCCCCATTACATATAATCTTTAGTAACAGCATCTCTCTTTATTTTATCGGATTTTTCCTTCCATAAAAACTTAAAAACTACTGTATTTAGTATTTTAATAAAATTAGCAATAGGATTTGGTAATGATATGAAAAGGTGATTTAGTTGTGATATAAACAGAGATTTTGTAATTACACTAATGTAAAGGTGCATTATAACGACTGAAATGAAAAACAAATTAAACTGGTCAGATGAAAAGATGAACAGACAAGGGTAACACTCCCCCGAACCACGTATTGTCAGAAAACAATAATCATTACATAACCACGATAAACTAAATCTGCTAACATTCATTCATTGCCCTTGTGGTAGAGAAACTTGTTTCTTTGTTTCCTCTAGATCAAATCTGATACACAAAACATGATCAGTGAAGGGGAAACAAAGAACCATGTTTCCCTATTATATGAAAATTGAACACTGACACATACAACAGTAACACTATTAGGCTTACATGGCATTGCTGTGTATCTGTTTCATTCACTCGGAAATCGGGGGCGATAGTAATTTTGTCAGAGAGGCCCAGGATGCATGAAGTATGACCAGGGAAACATGACAATTTATTTCCCCGACATGTGATCAGCTCAGTCCTACCAGGTACACTGTTATATAGATGTAATCAGCTCAGTCCTACCAGGTACACTGTTATATAGATGAAGTAACAATATTTGTAACCTTACGTTATGTTTCTTCATGGCCGTGCTGATCTGATCGTCTGACATGTGATCAGCTCAGTCCTACCAGGTACACTGTTATATAGATGTGATCAGCACAGTTCTACCAGGTACACTGTTATATAGATGTAATCAGCTCAGTCCTACCAGGTACACTGTTATAAAGATGTGATCAGCTCAGTCCTACCAGGTACACTGTTATATAGATGT